AAAAATGTAAGAGTTTTTACAGTGAAAATGATTATATTTGATAATATTAAGAATCTATTATAATTCTGCTCGTTCCCCCCTTTGTTAGTTTGCACGACCGTTATGCCCTGCCAATACCTCATAAATAATGGATTATTTCATTTTGATACAATGAAAAGACAGAACTGACATAGATGCTACTTGGTTTTAGTGTGAAAATGAAAAAGGAAAGCTGAAAGTGTTTAATATCTATTTCAGCGAAATGGACAAAAAATTGTCAATTTCAAATCTTTTCATCTTTTAAATTTTCTGATTTACACACCTTTTTTCTAGCACCTTCTATTTTATCTGCTATCAGTTTCTACTAACAGAAGATATTTGCAGACCCATTGTAACAATAGGGCAGAGGTCTATTTTGGAACCATGGTATTGCACTCAATTTGGACGTTGAGATTTCACATAAAAAACGACAAAATATTTTTCCAAATCTTTAGTTTTTTGAGGAAACCAGCCTGAAAATTTTAGGTTCAAAATTGTAGTGTTGGAATTTCATTCCAGTGATCAGTGAAAACCTCATAGCAATCTTATTTATGATTTTCTGAAGCCTTATACATTTTATATGGACAAGGTGTAAGACACAAGCATATTATTACTAAATTATTGTGCCATTAAATAAGACTTTCATTTACTTCAAATTGAAATTTGACTGAACAATTTAGCTATATTATAGTGTAATATATCATACAGTACAGTAGTTTTAATGCCATCTTCAATAAACAATGTAAACTTGAAATACCCAGCTAGTCGATCAGAAAAAGCGTTCAATTAGAAGAGCAAAAACAGCATCATGTTTAGCTGTAACACTGTCTATCTTCTTCAATTACTTTAAAGTACTTTCAATAAAAAACATTTTGAATTAATGCAGTTACTGATACAACAGAAGTAGTTTGTATTTACTCAACCGATATTAGCTGAGGACATGAAGGGGTAAACCAGGCAACATGAAGACCCACTTCAGACCACAATTATTTTGGAGTTTTTGAAATTCAATTTGTCAATGTGATACCAGGGGTGTAAAAGAGGATATATTTATAAAGTAATTGCTAAGTTTGATGAAAATTTGTTGAAAGATCAACGAAAAATAAGAAAGAAACCAGTAAAAATCTTTTTTGCTATTTATGTGGATTTTCACTGGTTAGATGGACTCAATTATCAAGTTAAATGACTTAAACAATCAACTTATTGCTGGCTACAATTGAGTGAAGTTTATATTAGAGTGTTTGAAAATTGAGGGAGTTTAAATTTTAAATTTTTTCGTTTTTTGCTAAATGCAGTTGTGTAGAAATAAAAATGAGGTATTGTTGAGCTTGTCATGATGTAAGTAACCTATATACCAAGTTTGAACGAAATTGGGGGTGGGGGAAGAGTTGAATTTATTGATTGGCTTTATTGATTATTGATTTTTTAAAAAATTATCAATTTTTTATGCTAAGAACCTATCTTTTACATTGTACCAAGATGGATGGTATATATGTTTAAATGTACCAATTTTTTAAAACTGGGATGCCCAGACATAACATTATCAGAAAATAAGAGTGAAAAATATAAATTTAAACAAAGTACCTAAAATTCAACAAAACATTGAATTATGGAGAATATAGTTTCTAAATTTTTAAGATTACTGGGTATTGAAAAAATTATATAAAGAAAAGTTGCATATGTTATATTTCTCAAGTAATTTTCCCAGTTAGATCTCCTGTAGAAAAAAAATTCAATAAACCTCCAGTTATCAGTCAAGCTGTCAACACCTTAAACACTTACTGTGGTGTTAAAAAAATGCTTTTGTGTGATATTTTAAACCAAATGTAATTAATATTTGTTTTAAATCAGTTAATATTCCTCAAATAAAGTGTAGTTGGATTAGGTAGTAATAACACCAGATGGAATTATACACTTTCCTTTTCACTAAGAGAGTGACAAAGAAAACTTTCTCTCTCCACAACACATACTTCCTTTCCTTCCTTCCATTGTTCCTATCCTCAGTAACTGACAGAACCCGGACATAGCTTATGTGGGTCAGTGAATGTCAAAACAAAACAAAAAAACAACAACAACAACAAAAAAAAAAAACAACAAAAAAACATGTTAATGACAGGGGAATACTCTGCTTAAAACTTTTTGACATGTAACTGTTTAATTGTAATAGGTTTGACCATAATTTTGTCTTAAAGAATGCAATTTCAAATTAAAAGAGAAAGTAATTTATTAAAGCTAAAATATATTGAAAGTACACTAGCTAGCTAGCTGGAGTAAATTTACGTAGTTGCAGTAGAAATCACAAGTGGGTTCTGTAGATGTTTTAGCTATACAAACTAAACAAACACAAATATGGCCGACAAGCACCTTCCAGTATAGACAGGCATACTTGGATACCAGTGGCCTGTGATAAAAATAAAATAAAAAAAAAACAATAGAAAGTTGAATGAAATCATCTTACTTGACAGATTTTTGTCAATATGGATGATTTTATTTTATTTTTTTTACTGATGATAAAACAAAATTCATTCCAATCAATTAAAATTAAATTTGAAATACAAAGTATTTTTTGTTTATTGGAAATAGTTATTGAAATCTGTTATCTTGAAATTAAAACTAAGAAAAGCTTAAAAACTTTTCATTTTTAAATCGTTTTTCTTTGGGGGGTACCTAACTCCCATTAATAACCATCTAACAATGAAACCATTTAAATAAAAACAATGCCACTACTTTGGTAACAATTATTATCTAAAAAATCCCATGTTTTTCGACTTGTCATAGTAAGGGCAAAAAAGAAAGGTAGATCTTTTTTAGGGCCAGCTTGAATTTAAAAACCTAATTGCTGGAAAAGAATGCTCGGTCGACTTGTCGAGAAGACGAACAAATATTTTTCAGGTTTTTTTAAATTTAGCTTCCTTAAAAAAAAAAAAAAAAAAAAAACTTATCAGAAAAAGAATGTTTAAAAATAATTACGAAACAAATTCATAATTAACACAGCCCCCCCCTGCAAAAAAAAGCAAAACAAAACGGGATTAAATAAAAAAAAAAAAAAAAATGATCAAATTTTTTGTCTTACGTTTTTATTTTTACTAAAGCCACCCGTAATAAATTTTTACTGATCATCATTTTATCACTGATCTTCAAACATGTTGGCTATTATAGAGTTTAAAAGTATAACAGAAATATTTGAAATTCCAGTGCAAGGTGTAAAAATAGCATTAGTTTGCATCAACAAATAAATAATGCCGAAGAAAAACAAACGTTTTTACTAAATGAGCCACGGCTGCACATTATGTCAATACGTGGACTCATTTTTTCTTTTTTTTACTTAAAAAGAAATAATACATTTTTTTTTTAAATGCACAAGAAAATCAACACCAACGAATTACGATATTAAAATTAAAAAACTAGTAAGTTAAAGAAAAAAAACTTTAAAATTATATTTTTTTGAGTGTACTATACTTTGAACTGGCATAAAAAAGGTAAATTCATTTTTGACTTACCTCACAATTCACATCGAGAAAAAGAAAAAGCATTGATGGTATTAAAAAGGAACAGAAAGATTAAGAATGAAAAAGATTACCTTATGGAAAATTGGCTGAATTCGTTAAATGACCCGGACTTAAATAAAATAAATTCCTATGAACCACGAAACAATGCCTTGAAAAAGCGAAAGACAATTGTTCCCCGAAATTTTACGACGGTATTTTTACATGGTAATTGTAATATGAGCAGCGGTTTCTTTATAAGGAAATTTTTCTTTAAAAAAACAAAACAAGTACGGTCGAGAGTGGCTAACAACGTCGATAATCACGCGTTTTAGACATCTGACCACCACATTATTACATGTTTAGGGAGAATGACTTTTTTTATGTTTAGTTTAGTCATCAAACATCGATACCGGCGTTGGTGTTTAGTTTATTTTGCTTTCTTTCTTTAAAAATTATGGAAAAGAAATAGGTTGAATTGAATGCCTTGAAATCTAGATTTAAACAAACACAAACGAAAAACTTAAAAAAAAATAATTATATATCTTTCTCTATGGATGTACACATCTTTTTATTTTTTTTTTTCAACTTTCTGTCCAAGTGTTCAGTGCTCGAGTTTCGTTTTTTTTTTTTTTTTTTTTTTATTTTTGGTCTCAGTAACGCTTTTTTTTTTTTTTTTTTTAATTATGTTGTCTTGCGTAACGAATTGGAAACTAAATTCATAACCTCGCTAGGCAGCCAAGCTGAGCTTAGGTTTTTTTCACTAATTTTTTTTTTTTTAAAGCTCCTTATGGGAAAGACAATTTAAAAACGAAGGAAATTAAACATTTAGTTTTAAAAATTGTTCGCTTTTTTTTTTCTCAACCATTCTCTTTTTAAAAATATAACTCACAAAAAGCGAAACTTAAAAAACTAAATAAAAACAAATTAGTCCTAAAATTATTTTTCTTTTAATTTAACTACATAGAAAAAAAAACAAAAAAAAAAACAAATCACCTGATGTATGACAGACTAAAATAAATTAACCAACTGTCATGAAAAAATTTTTTAAAAATTTTCTTAAAAAGTAAAGAAAAATAAATAAAAGCGGAAATGCGTAATTTATTTCCATTTTTTAAATTGTGTAATAATTGCTGATATGATTGTTCAGACATCTGTTAAAAAATCGACACTGTCCCGAGTGTCCTATTTTAAATAATAAAAAAAAATTATCGTCTTACTGGCGACATAAGCGCGATAATGTTCAATGACTGTTACGCATTTAAATCAATAACGTCACCTTTCTTTTTCAACTATAAAATAACCCACTTACTGGTAATAATGCTGGTTCTTGTAAGTGTTGTTAATCAACTGAAGACTAGTGGTACCCGAGAATTTGTCTCGTGAAGCCTAACTTTCGCATTGCGTTCAACATGTCCAAGAGAGTACCATGATGTTTGCGTTAAAAAGTCTTATCTAAAAAAAAAATCTTACATTTATGTAAATTTAATTACTCACATTTCATTTTGCAGAAGAAAGTGATGGCTTAGAGAAGCTGGTGTGATAACTCGAAGTAAATCTTTTTCAGAGTCAATAAGAATTTATCTTAATTAAAAGTGAAAGAAGCGTCTTTCTTACATTTACTGACCAATTAGAATGCTTTATTTAAACTCTTAAAAAAACACATCAGATCCTGCTAACCTTTAACGAACGCTGCCAATCAGTTTTATGAGAGTAAAGTTTGTCTGAACAACGCCGTTTGACACACACACTATATATATATATATATATATATAAAAATAAATGTATGCGCAAATTCTAATGACAATATGAAGTAAAGACAAGGAAAATTTTTCTTTACTGATATGCTTTCTCCTTTGACTTTATTATGTCAAATGTAAGGATATTATTTTGCAAGTATTCACATGATGTCTACCCCGGCTGTTCTGTATTCTTGTTTGATCCCCTCGGCTGATCGTAGAGGTGATTGCTCCAACTCAAGTCTTGTCTCACCCCATGTTGTGTTGATTGATGACAATACTGGCTTGGTCCAAATGGTCAACTGGAATCATTGACTTGGTTTGGTCCAGTCAGAGTAAAGTTACACAAAAAAAAAAAAAAAAAAAAAAAAAAAAATTTATATACTGTTACTTGATACAAAGTTGATGGCATCATTATTGATGGCTTAAGCAGGACTATAATCTCCATGCAATAACTCTTGACCCCTCTTGATTATCATGACACTGTTGTTAAAATTTTGGAACAAGACTTCTGAAACAAGGCTTTGTCTTCAGGAGAGCAAGTCACATGAGATCAGGTGAAGCAGTGGTAGTCCGCTCTCTCTGCAGTAGTTTGTCCTCGGTGTCTCTGTCTCTCTCTGCTGTAGTGTCTTGGTGCTGTTTTTATGAACCCCTGCACAAGGTGGGGTGGGGCATGATGTGCTCTGGGAATGCCCGCATTCCCCAAACAACCAATCAGGGCTCTCCCTGCAAATGTCTAAATATGGAGGAGTCCCTCCTTGGAATTCTACCTGGGCCTTCTTTTGGTCACCTGATCAAAACCCTGTCTCCTTCCTGATTTGTGTGAGTGCCTCTCACCATCACTGCCCAAGAGTCGTGGAAAGTCCTCTGCCTTCCTTAAAATTCCACCTGGCCCTCTCCTCCTTGGTCACCTGACCAAACCTGAACCATAAGGGCTAGGTGTGGTCTAACCCAACAGCCAAATTATAATTATCATTCAAAATTTTTTCTTATCGTGCTTTTGTGAGTGGTTGTTTTTGCAGCTGGAGTTTATTACTTTTATCCCATCGTCAACCCCTTTGGTCAACAAGTGGCAAAAAGGGAACAATCCCTTTATTTTGGGAAGTTTTATCATGTTTCGGCAAACGGAAAATTCTCTTATTTATTTTCTGCTGGAAACCTGTCTGCTTCTAAAAGTTAATTCTTATCAATCAACTGAACTCACACCCAGAAGTTCATCTTCCTCTTTATCACACAATGGTTGTAAAAATCTATATTTTTTTCCGGGAGGATATTGGACCACCAGAATAGCCTGTCATGTAGTCTCAGTTCTAATCGAAACTAGATGGTCTCTTTATTTACCTGTCCGTATAGACAAGAAATTTAATTACCTTTTAGTTTTTTTCCAATAAAAAAAAAAAAAAAACAAAAAAAAAAAACACACCCTTTTCTTCCATTTTCCTTCGTCTGGTCATTGGTATGTCTTTAGTCTATCAGAATTTAGTGTTTTTCAATTTACTAGCGCCCTTCCAGTAGTGTCACATAAACAGAAGTAAAAATATTGTTATTGGGTTGGTGCATAATTATCAGGCGTTTTTGTTGGCAAGTTATTTGTTAAAAAAAAAAAAAAAAAAAAAAATGCTATTTTGTTTCCTTTTTTTTTGATAAAAATATTTTATTTTCAGGTTATAAACATGCTTGTTGATAATCATACTTATTTAAAAATGTTATTGCTGAATTGTTTCTTTTTTCATAATAAATATAGTTTAAAAATGCCTGATAATTATGTACCAACCCAATATATTTATGAAAAGTGTGTGTGTGTAAAACAGTTTATCTTGATTAATATAAGTAATTGTAAAAACAGCCACAAGCATATAACTTCATTTTCATTTCCAGCCACTTTGTTTATCTCTTTGCAATAAGGGACTCACTTGAGATAGATTTGTATAGACAAGCAGACATTAAATCTAGGATCTGTTGCAAATGTCACATATTTATCTTTTTGTGGGTGGATACAAATTTGAAAGTTTTAAATTTATTCAAACCAGAGAATAAAAAAAAAAAAAAAACAAAAAAAAAAAAACAAAAAAAAATTTTTTACATTGTTCAGACTGTTGTCCCCATTTTTATTGTCATATTACAACAACATTAATATAGAAATAAAATATATTGCTAAGATAACTAGCATTTTAATCAAACATATTTAAAAAAAAAAAAAAAAAAAGAAAAAATTTTCTTAAAATATATTACCTATTTCAATGGAAAATAGGACCGACAGTCAATATTTCTCCTCTCCAAAGTTATGATTTTAATTCCTATGATTTTCCTGGTCACTACAGGTAAAATTTCTGGAACACATAATGAGAAAAGAATGCTTGGCAAATTTGACACTAACAAGACATGAGAGGTAGAGGTATAACAAGGACAGTTACAATCAGAAAGAGTTAATTGAAGATTTCTGGGATACATAATGAGAAAAGAATGCTTGGCAAATTTGACACTCAAGTCAAATAAAACAAGGACAGAGGGAAAATTGAGCTTGTGAAAATAGATGTCAGGACAGGGACATTGGCAGATTGCACCCTGAAGCTTGAACAGAGATGAGGGCCTATTCGCAACCATAGATTCAAGGATTCAACTGCCAAAATGTAGGTTAGGAATAGATTCTGCCGAGCTCAACGTGTCTGTACAAATGGGGATCTAGGCTCTGTAAGCCCCCAACTTTTTAAAAGTCAATTTTATCAATTACAAGGGAATTTAGGTAATATGAAATGAATATAAAATTCTAAGGTTATTTCAACCCATATCATTAAAATGGCCTTTTAGAAAAAAAATAAAATAAAATAAAAAAAATAAAATTCATTTATATATATTTTCAATTTTGTTGAACAATTCACTCATTAGCAAAAGTTTCTTCGGGTTCTTTGGAACTAGGGGGCCTGAAGCATTAGTTTCATGGTAGATACGACGCCACTAGTTGAGTATGGTTAAGAGGACAAGCATTTAAAGAATGCTAGGAAGTTGTAGAGAGCCATGATCACTCACGACACGATGTTTAAACTAAACATGGTAGATGAACAGACCATCACTGGTAACCTTTGTCAAGGAAAAAGGCAACGGAATGAATTTCAAAATCACACTGAAAAAATTTTTTTTTAAATATTTTTTTTTTCTGTCCAATCTGAAAAGAAAAATAAAGTTTTGGTTTTATTATGTAAGTAGTAATTATTTTTTTTGAGTTTTATTGGTTTGGTAAGAATAAGATTCACATTTATTGCATTATTAAATGAATGATTTTAATTTTTATTTATTTTTAAATTAACATTCATTATTACAATGAATCATTAATACAAAAGGTAAATTAAAGTTGATATGAAATGGCGAAATCCCTTCGGTAATAAAATTTTTAACGATGCATTTAACCTAACAATCACTCGATGAATGTTATTTTTTTTTTAAATTAGGTCTTTCTTAAATACGCAACTACTTTCGACTGTACATTCAGTCATGGAAATTTGTATGTTAACATAAAAAGAAAAAAAAATTGATTTGCATATTTTTTTTTTTTGTCTTGGATAACAAAAACAAAATAAAAAGAACGTATAAATATAAAAATGTCTTAAAATATATATGTACGTTAAGAGACGAACACCATCCAATTAAAACTAAAAAAAATGGTACACTACACACCAGACATCGAAAAAGGAAAGTGAAAACATCTATATTTCTACAAGGTTTTCTAACGAAATAACAGAACGTATTAAATTAATTCATTAATAAATAATTACTAGAAATTTCATTTGAATCTGATAATTTCCTAAATTTTAGCAAACATTTGAAAACAATGGTAGAAATTTTCTTGCTCACATTTCGGAAAAAAAAAGGCGCAATTTCGTGGTGGTACTTGTTTTAAACTAAAAGTTTTGTTTTTTTTTAAAAAAAAAAAAAACGGGGAAAGATGTTTAAAAATACAAACAAGAATAATAATAAAACGAACTACTGTCTTTCTTCTGTGTTACTTCAGGTTGTGGGTGATCGTGGCTCTCCACAAGTTCCTACCCTTTGTAGCTTTTTTTTTTTTTTGTCTTTTTTATTTTAATTTTGAACCTCTTGGCGCTATTACGCTCTCGCATCTCCCCCACTACGCAATGACACTGCGAGGTTTTTTGTCTTCAGTTCTTTAGTTAAAAAAAAAAAAAATTGTTTCATAATTTGTGGATTTTCCATTTCTTCATCTTTCTCACTTTCATTTTAAAAACTTTTGGCAGCGCAGAAGAAACACATTTAAGCTTTTTAAAACCACCGCTAGTGTTTGTAAATTACTAATTGCAACCAATTGTTGTTATTTTAAATTATTTTTATGAACTTAAAAAGAAACTGTTTTAAGTTTTTCACTTTATAAATTTGTCTTTGTTTTTACTTTGGAGAGGGGTGCGAAAGTGTAATAGCGGCCACCTCCTTGTTTCACAAGCCCATTAGATAGCTTCTTACTCAATGACCATGTTATAAAAATTTATAAATAATAATTATAATAATAATAATGATGTCATAATTGAGGAACTTGCATGCCTGCAGTTACATTTACAAGGACAGTGGAGACGAAGAAATTATTAGTAGACAATAAGTAAGACAAGAAAAAAAAAAACTGTTTTCAATGCAAAAGAAAGAGAAAAAAATGGACCCGTTCATTTTCATAATTAAAAATAATTTTTTTTTTTTTTTTTATTATGAATGGATCCTCTCATCTTCTCCTGTAAGAAAAAAAAAAAACTCACCTGAAGTT